GAAGATTAAAGGATTCCAATTAAATTAGTGGTGAGAAGTATTTCAATTGAGAGATACAGGTGGGAGGACGGTTCCAATTGGAGTCATTCCTTTAGACTCAACCCCGCCGTGAAGGCTCAAAGACCCTCCTGAACCATATCTCGTTCCAGTGGGTGTCCACATATCGGCTTTCCAGACCGTCTCCCTTCAACGGCCGCGGTAAATGAGCTTGTTAGACGCTCTAAGAGGTTCTTTCAACACGCGCCGCCTAGCCATCAGTCAACCTCGCCCTGGCCTTCCGTCTCTTTAATCAGATGCTGGACTTGTTTCTTCTGTCGGCAGGTGAAGCTTCGAGGGAAAATCTAAAAAGTTCGTCTTCTTAGGTGATGATGAATTTTGTCAAGGGATTTTTCTTTTTCTCTCGTCTGATAAAGTCTATGCCATAAGCTTGATCGCCTGGTTCTGTCTTCCCATGAGAGAAGGAAGTGTTGTTGATATTTCTTCTGAAAGTTGGGGAGCTCCTCGGGCAGGTCAGGTCCCCTCGTGATGTCAGCTGGTAATGACCTCCTCAAGAAGCAGATCTTCCTTCAGGTTTTAATTGACCTTATCTTATGAAGAAAACTGGTAAAGGAATATATTATAATCCCTGTGTAAAATCTTATAATTCCAATTTATTTCGTCATTTAAATTCCATTACATAAAGATTTCCATTTTAGAACTTTTATTTACTTGATATTTCTTCAAAAACATAAATAACAGATGATGATTTTTTTTTCTTCTTCTTTTTAATCTGGTAAATCGTGTCTACCTCCACCAAGACGTCTTCCAAGCAAACACATTCGTCATTACCCAAAAAATCAATAAAAATCACAGAACGAAACTTTGTGGTGAGTCGGTGTGAGTCTGTGGTGAGTCGGTGTGAGTCTGTGGTGAGTCGGTGTGAGTCTGTGGTGAGTCGGTGTGAGTCTGTGGTGAGTCGGTGTGAGTCTGTGGTGAGTCGGTGTGAGTCTGTGGTGAGTCGGTGTGAGTCTGTGGTGAGACGGTTGTGAGTCAGAACCTTGCGTTGATCAGACAATAAGACAAACTATATCCCTTAATGGTGTTTTATGAGTCTATTTATAATATTCTGACAAAGATGGATTTTTTGTTTCAGTGTCGTTGTAGAATAGATGGTGATAGAGGAATGTGTTGCTGTAGGTACACGTTCTATAACCCACCTTAGAATGTTAGGCGCCTGTGGTGATGACGGTAACACCAAACTAACTATAACACCCACGTACCCAACACCCACGTACCCAACACCCACGTACGGTACCCAACACCCACGTACCCATCACCCACGTACCCAACACCCACGTACCCAACACCCACGTACCCAACACCCACGTACCCAACACCCACGTACCACGTACCCAACACCCACGTACCCAACACCCACGTACGGTACCCATCACCCACGTACCCAACACCCACGTACCCAACACCCAAGTACTCAACACACTAAGCACCACAGCTGAAAGTTGACAACACACACTAGTAACACAATCTCAACTAAACTACCATACATTAAGCTACAACAGGACTAATATATACTCAACTAGAGTATATATATATATCCACAAGACTCGTTTCATTCTGCTACAAAAAATTCAGTGACCATAACCTAAAAAAAAATGGTCTCTTGTTTGGCTTCAGTTATCAGGGAATAAACCACAATACTCGTGCTTGTTGATTACTAAATGTTAAACCATTTCTCTGGGTTTATTTGACTAACTTGACTACTTAAAACAACACATATTGGACCTTCAATATGTACAGGTTTATGTTTATATAAAAAAAAAAGCTTTACTAACACTGGTACTTATTCGTTGTTGTTCATAAGTCTCGCGTGCACTACTGTACCTAACAGACAAACTATTGAGTGCACTATCCAAGAACCATCTTTAAAGAAGTGCACATTCAAGGACGATAACTATTTAGTGCACATTCTAGGACGATAACTCTATTCAGTGCACATTCAAGAACGATAACTATTTAGTGCACATTCAAGAACGATAACTCTATTCAGTGCACATTCAAGAACGATAGCTATTTAGTGCACATTCAAGAACGATAACTATTTAGTGCACATTCAAGAACGATAACTCTATTCAGTGCACATTCAAGAACGATAACTCTTTAGTGCACATTCAAGAACGATAACTCTATTCAGTGCACATTCAAGAACGATAATTATTTAGTGCACATTCAAGAACGATAACTCTATTCAGTGCACATTCAAGAACGATAACTATTTAGTGCACATTCTAGGACGATAACTCTATTCAGTGCACATTCAAGAACGATAACTATTTAGTGCACATTCTAGGACGATAACTCTATTCAGTGTATTCAGTGCACATTCAAGAACGATAACTATTTAGTGCACATTCTAGGACGATAACTCTATTCAGTGCACAATCAAATTCCATCATGTGCACAATGTTTGTTATCTTTGATCTTTTTTTTTATCATTATTTACCAGTCCCAGAAATATACAGCCTAGTTGGACCACATCGGTATAGGCCACAGCATAGAGGCCTCCGAAGAGTGTATACGCCACAGCAATGACAGCTGACAGGATGACGGCCAATTCCGAATCTATATTCAGTATGACTGAGAGGGTCGCACCTGGGGGGAAGGATCCACAGGTGTGACGGAATAGGTTATTAGTGTGTGGTAATGTTCCGGCTACCTAACCTAACCTAAGCTGAATCTATCTATCTATCTACCTGTTAGTTAAAATAGTGAAGTATATCGTGGAGGTTAAATGTAAAGAGATGGATTATATGCTGAAATATAAGTAACATAGGAAAGAATTAATATTATGGAACAGAGAAGATATTAACATGATTTTTTGTTGTTGTTGTTGTCAGTACAGAGTTTCTTATAAGCCCCCTCCCCCCTCCCCCTCCCCAACTCCCCCCCACCTCTAAACTGTTTTAACATGACAATGGTCGCGGACTGTTCATATTCGTACACGTTATGGCAACAGTGTCCCTCGGTGCTGGTGTGCATAATCATCACGTCAACTCCCGTCACGGTATTTATATTTGAGAACATCAGCCACACATCCCTGCAGGGGACGGCACCTCCAGTTTCGAACATGGCATTGTGGTTCGAGTGTTTCAGGTCGAAGCCCCGAACTACTGCCGCCCAAGGCTTCATTTGCCTAATATAATGTTATTTCTTGCAGCATTTGTCTCCCTTACTGGCAACTAATCGCAAGGTATCGTTAATTTAGTAAGATTTAACCTGGTGCTGAAAATTTATACACATAACATAACATACCTGAGGGTCGATCAGGTGACAACTGGTGCCTCTTAAGTCACAAGAAGGTTAATGGGGCGTTATATCTCAGGGTATATTTAGGTGGGATAAAATTAAACTAACGAGTCATTTCTTTTATAACTCGCCTAACCTGTTTAAGTAAAGCATTTTATATTTGTACGCGATTTGGGACGATGAAATTATGAAAAATGGAAATATTCTCAAATAGTAAGGCAGTGTTGTCCCGCCGCCCTCTGGGACCATCAGTACAGATTCGTGGGTCTCTCCTGCACTCTGTTCGCTGCTGTAACTGATTGGATTTATCAAGACGGTGACTCATAATACTACACAGTGTCTCAGAAAATGTATACAACACATCCTTACACATTCCCGTGGAGGTGGCGTGAATGTTTGTATGACAACAGTAACATTGCCCTCACTTGTAGAAGCCTCGTACTTCAATAGGTGAGGACAAGTGGCTGTTTTAATATAACCATTCACAGCATCACCACGAAAATATGTAAGGCAGTGTGTCTACATTTTGTTCTGAGACGCGCTGTAGTATCTCAAGACCGTACCATGATGCTCACAGTTCCCTGGGCGCCATTTTCGTCTTGAGGTTGATGTTGTATGACACACCTCACACTGACTCACGCTGTATTTTTAACAAGTTTTAATATTTCATCGTCAGCAGACCTTCTGGGAGGTATACTGACCTTTCCTCCACTGTACAAGTCTTAAAGTTTTCCCTTCTAAGACCTTCCCTATCCTTCGGGTAGTGAACCTCTCCCTCGACACGAACCTGAAGGATAATTTGAAGTATGCATGCATGTCTCCTCATAAACCTAACCTAACCCTAACCTAACCCTAACCTAACCCTAACAAGGAAAGTTATCTGATGGGGGTGGTTCATGTCTTGGGTTTTGCCAGTTAACCTTCCCTCATGAACGACATAACGATTAGACACTTAAGCTCACCACAACGCCAGTGCTGGAGAAGAACAACGGCAGTGCTGGAGAAGAACAACTGCAGTGTTACGTTTAGTTTTACTTCCTTATAAACGTTCAAGTAAAGTAGAATGGTAGGCTAGGTGGGTGGGTCTGAGTGCATCTCACCAGCCTCGTCTTTATGGTCAGAGTTTAATAGTTTGGCCGCCTCCTGCCTGAGTTAGCTCCACTCCCACGGGTCTGTCTGTCATACTTTCTACCTCCGGCGATATGCTCACTTTATTAACTCCTTCTTCGCTATGCTAGACTTTTGTTCATTTCTGTAAAAGACTTTCATTTGCATTATTGTTTATATTTACCTTCTACGTCTTCCCCATCTTCTTTTACATTACATACAGGTATTATTTTTTCCTCTTAGTTTCATCCCACGACAGACTGTGACCCGCGGTGTGTGTACTTTATTTCCTGTTTATCTTAAAGTTTGGAAAGTATTATAAACCTGATTTTTTGGAGTACCTGAAGATTAGGAACCTCTGCTTATTTTACCTTATGATTGAACACCCTAAACCTAACCTAACCTAACCAAACTTAAACCTAACCTAACCTAACCTAACCTAACCTCCGTCACCCAAAAGACACATAAACTCTGGTTGGTTCTGACACGAAAAAGTTCCCCCTAAAAAATAAGACATTGCATTACGTTTTCTTCTTCCTCTTAGTATGCTCTCTCTCTCTCTCTCTACATGTTTATTTTGCCTCTTGATTTTTTCCAAGTTTATTCTTTATTTCCTCTCTCTGTTTCCCTTTATTTTGCCTTAACGCCATTCCCTCCTTTATCACCCATTTTCTTCTCATTTCTCCTTCATTCTCTTTTCTTTTCTTCTGCACCTCCCTTTCTCTACACCTCCCCCACCCCTTATTCTCTTTATCGTCTCTTTCTCACCTTAGTCTTCTCATTTCTCACTTCTCCTCCTCTTCTCCTCCCTTACTCTCTTATCTCCCCATCATTACTCCCTTATCTCCCTATCACCCACTACTCATACACCCTTCTTCATGTCCCTCCCCCTTCCTTCCTTCCTTCCTTCCTCACCATTCTTCATCTTCCTATTCCCTCCTTCATTCCTTCCTCACCCCTCCCCCCTAACCATACACCCTTCTTCATCTCCCTCCCCTCCTTCTTCCCTTCCCTCCTTCCTCCCCTCCTCGTTACTCAACCATTCTTCATCTTCCCTCCTTCCTCCCCCTCCCCTCTTCTTCACTCACCTAATGCACCGAGGATGGCAGCTGACCAAAACACCTCACCACACAGAGCTGGCAGGAACAGAAGACCTCCCATCCGTTCGCCAAACTTGTCTTGCAGCGGATCCAACATGGTGACGTAACCCTGGGAACGCATTTTATTGGCGAACAGAATACCACCTAAGGGAGAGAAAATGTAAACAATGAGTGTAAATAATAGTATGTAAACAATGAGTGTAAATAATAGTATGTAAACAATGGGTGTAAATAATAGTATGTAAACAATGGGTGTAAATAATAGTATGTAAACAATGGGTGTAAATAATAGTAATGTAAACAATGGATGTAAATAATAGTAATGAATGCGTGTTTGGTTATACTGTTTGTATTTGTCTGTTTTGTTTGTTGTGATTGTTGTGTTGTTGTTGTTCTTGTTAGTAGTAGTAGTAGTAGAATATAATACTGTACAGAAATATTATTATTATTATTATTATCTATATTAGCAATAGTAATAGTTTCCAACGTATAATTACATATAATCACAAAAGGAGAGAGAGAGAGAGAGAGAGAGAGAGAGAGAGAGAGCAAACGAATACAAGACACAGACAAGAAATATAAAGAAAGATAACAAGAGATAACAAGAGATAACAATCACTTACCGAAAATAAGGGAGAGAGCATAACCGAACGGGGCCTGACACCAAATTAGGCCTGAGTCATACACCGCCTCGGCCGTCCCGTTTATGTAACCACCGCCAACCCAAGTCGCTGTCGGGTGTGGGAGAGAGATGCACGGTCAGGTTTTACTCCATTGTGAGACAGGAGTTACTCTCAGCTGAATAAAATCGTGAATTATGGGCCAGAATACGATAACTAAGTGCGTCGCTGCCCTCTGGAAAGTTGAGGGGGTCAGTTGGAAGGAGGTACAGTGCCAGGGTAGGTGGTGGAGGTGGGGAGAGTGCCAGGGTAAGTGGTGGAGGTGGGGAGAGTGCCAGGGTAGGTGGTGGAGGTGGGGGAGAGTGCAGGGTAAGTGATGGAGGTGGGGGAGGGTGCCAGGGGTGGGTGGTGGGAGAATAAGGGAGAGTGCCAGGGGTAGAGTGGTGGAGGTGGGGGAGGTGCCAGGGTAGGTGGTGGAGTGGGGAGAGTGCCAGGAGTGGGTGGTGGAGGTGGGGAGAGTGCCAGGGTGGGTGGTGGAGGTGGGGAGGTGCCAGGGTGGGTGGTGGGTGGGGAGTGCCAGGGGTGAGGTGATGGAGGTGGGGAGAGTGCCAGGGTGGGGTGGTGGAGGGTGGGGAGAGTGCTTGGGGTAGTGAGGTGGGGAGAGTGCCAGGGTAAGTGGTGGAGGTGGGAGAGTGCCAGGGGTGGTGGAGGTGAGGGAGGGAGACTTAATGTGATCCTCGAGTGATAATCTTCAAGTAGTTACTCATAATATAGAAACCTAACCTAATCTAACCTAACCAACCTAACCTAACCTAACCTAACCTAACCACCGCCAACCCAAGTCGCTGTCGGGTGTGGGAGAGAGATGCATGGTCAGGTTTTACTCCATTGTGAGACAGGAGTTACTCTCAGCTGAATAAATCGTGAATTATGGGCCAGAATACGATAACTAAGTGCCGCTGCCCTCTGGAAAGTTGAAGGGGTCAGTTGGAAGGAGGTACAGTGCCAGGTAGGGGAGGAGGGGAGAGTGCCAGGGTAGGTGGTGGAGGTGGGGAGAGTTGAGGGTAGGTGGTGGAGGTGGGGAGAGTGCCAGGGTAGGTGGTGGAGGTGGGGAGAGTGCAGGGTAAGTGGTGGAGGTGGGGAGAGTGCCAGGGTAAGTGGTGGAGGTGGGGAGAGTGCCAGGGTAGGTGGTTGAGGGGGAAGTGCCAGGTAAGTGGTGGAGGTGGGGAGAGTGCCAGGGTAGGTGGTGGAGGTGGGAGAGTGCCAGGGTAGGTGGTGAGGGGAGAGTGCCAGGGTAGGTGGTTGAGGTGGGAGAGTGCCAGGTGGGGTGGAGGGGGGAGAGCAGGGTAGGTGGTGGAGGTGGGGAGAGTGCCAGGTAGGTGGTAGAGGTGGGGAGAGTGCCAGGTAGGTGGTCGAGGTGGGAGAGTGCAGGTAGGTGGTGGAGGTGGGGAGAGTGCCAGGGTAGGTGGTGGAGGTGGAGGGAGGGAGACTTAATGTGATCCTCGAGTGATAATCTTCAAGTAGTTACTCATAATATAGAAACCTAACCTAATCTAACCTAACCTAACCTAACCTAACCTAACCTAACCTGACCTAACCTATCCTAAAGAGATATTATCATTGCATCTGAGGTATTACTTGAACATTATGGTAGTAATAACTCATACGTGATAACAGTCAAGGAGGAGGTAATAACAGTCAAGGAGGAGGTAAAACGTCAAGGGGAGGTAATAACAGTCAAGGGGGAGGTAATAACAGTGAATGGGAGGGTATAACAGTGAATGGGAGGTAATAACAGTGAATGGGAGGTAATAACAGTCAAGGGAGGTAATAACAGTTAAGGGAGGTAATAACCGTTAAGGGGAGTAAAAAAGGTCAAGGAGGTAATAACAGTCAAGGGGAGGTAATAACAGTGAATGGGAGGTAATAACAGTCAAGGAGGTAATAACAGTCAAGGGGAGGTAATAACCGTTAAGGGGAGGTAATAACAGTGAATGGGAGGTAATAACAGTCAAGGGGAGGTAATAACAGTCAAGGGAGTAATAACAGTGAAGGAGGGGCTAACAACACCTACTCCCCCTCCAGGACCCAACTCTACCCACCGGTCATGGTAAAGATGCCGACGAACACGCCTATACTCCTCCCTGCTAACATTACATCGTCAGCGTCATCTTCACCTTCAGGCTTCTTTTCTTGCCCAGATCCCCACTATCAGGATGACCAGGTAGAAGAAGACGATGGCTACCAATCCACCGATGTTGATAGTCATGATGGTGGTAGTGTTGTGTGTTAAGGATGATCAATTGGGACTTTAATGACTTGGATAAAGAGGTTTTTAATCCGTTATCAACTTGAATGGATTATGATTGATGTAAATGAGTTGGGTTATATTGGTTTTTTTTTGTAGGTTTGAGGTATATTGGTATTGGTTAAGATTAGGTTTGATCTATAAGGAATGTTTAAGAGGTGGGAAGAAGGGGTAGAGGGTTTATAAACTCAGCTGAGGTTTATGTAGTGAGTGCCGAGATATGAGGTGAGGGAGGGGGTGTGGTGGGGGGGAAGTCCCTGTAGAGCTTGGTCAGTGTAATGGCGGAGCACCTGTAGGAGAGAAGAACACAGTAGATGAGAAGCTTCTACAGGAAATGACATGGTGGAGATGGTTTGTTCTGTAAGTAATAAGTTAAAAATAAATTCTGGTCATCCTTCTCCCTCCCTCCTTCCTTTCCTTCATAATCCTCCTTCCTTCTGGCCATCTCCTCCCCCTCCCTCCTTCTATCCTCCTTCCCTTCTGGCCATCCTCCTCCCCCTCCTTCCTCATCCTCCCCCTCTGGCCATCCTCCTCCCCTCCCTCCTTCTAATCATCCTCCTTCTAGCCATCCTCCTCCCTCCTCCTGCCATCCTCCTCCCCTCTGGCCATCCTCCTCCCCTCCTTCCTTCATAATCCTCCTTCCTTCTGGCTATCCACCTCTTCCCTTCCTTCCCTCACTCGTCAAGCGCCCTCACAGATCATCCTCATACGATACGCCCAGTGAACCTCTATTGCCTCCGCGTCCACCATTAACCCCTTGACTGATTACCTGATTATATCTCTGTTAATTACCCTCATTAAGAGTTTTTATGGTAATTAGTAGCGGTTGATAATCTCAGGTATAGTTCTCGATGGTGTTCTTGTGTCCTTATTGATTTTTTGTTAATGGGTTGAAGGGAAGATGGTTTAGGTGTGGTGGTGAAGGGGCAGGGCGGGATGGTGTGTGTGTGTGTGTGTGTGTGTGTGTGTGTGTGTGTGTGTGTGTGTGTGTGTGTGTGTGTGTGTTTGTACATTCAGCTTTGTTGAAAATATCACTTTGTTTATTTACTCTCAATGAAGGAGGAAATTAGCTTATTGAAACTCCACGCTATTTTTCCTCCCCACTCTGTCTCTTCCTCCCCCAATCTGCTTCCCTTCCCCCACTCTGTCTCTTCCCTCCCTACTCCGTCTCTTCCTCCCCACCTGTCTCTTCCTCCTCTTCCCTCCTCCCTCTCTCTCATTCCCCAGTACCTAGCCTCCTTCCCTATTCCCCATGGCCCTACAACACGTCTACAAGCCACCACATGCACCTCGTTTCGCTTCTACCCGTCCTGTAGTCTGTTAGCTCCCCAATGTGTTGTAGCTTCATAAAGCCTAAAAGCCTCCCCAAGTCCGTTGGTATTTGTGGGGAGCTTAATGGACCTCTTGAAGTAATCGACCCCGTTCATGTGTGGGGAGGTCAGGCAGCGTCGCCCCACCTCCCCACTCCACTGCACCTCCCTCCTCCCCACCCCACTCCACTCCACTCCACCTCACCCACTCCACCCTCTCCTCTCCTCCTGTGTGTGTGTGTGTGTACGTCACAAGGACCCCCTCGTGTTACCTTTCATCATTATAAAGGTATATTCGGTCTTACTAAGGTCTTACTGCTTAACGACTCCTCGCTCACCTGTACGACCACCACCACCTGTTTTAATTAGTCGTTTGTAATCGTTTTCCTCAAGTACGACTAACACTTTGGCGAGCGAGATATTGTCCTCAACTATTACGGTGTGGCAACTGGTAACACGGGACAGGTGAGGCTATGTGGGGAATATATCACCATGAGGTAATCCAAACGGTGCACCTGTGTCGTTAGTAACAGGGTATAACACACACACACACACACACACACTACACACACCCACACACACACACACACACACACGCCTTCCTCAGTAGTGTGTGTTATTCAGTGAGACTCTTCAACAAATCACATCTTCTGCGGAATCATTGTTGTCCACTAAATTGAGTTTCTACGAAATTTTGATAGTGTTAGGAGAGAAAGTTTTAACCCCACGCTACAAAAGTTTTAACCCGGCGCTACAAAAAGTTCTAACCACTCACTACAAAAATAACCCCAAAAAATAAAGTTTCTATCTTAACTCTACAGAAGGTCAGAGGATAATCAGGTGTCGGGTTGCGAGGCCTCTTGGTTCGTTAAGCAGGACCCAGCAAACAGCCCATCAAGGGTAGTTCCTCCGCCCCTCCAATAACAACCCTTGACTGACTTAACAATCTCTGGCTGGCATGACATTGCCAGGCGAAGGTTTATGTGCTGTTGTGGTGTTGGTACGGAGGTGGCGCGTCCTTCTCTCTCTCTCTCTTTCCTTTTTATCATATATTCTACCAACTTTTTCTCTCCTTACCTCTAACACGAAACTCATGTTCCTTCTGTCCTTCCCTCCCTCTCTCCTCTCTCCCTCCATCCATCCTCCTCCCCCTTCTCCTTCTTCCCTCTCTCCTCTTTCCTCCATCTTTTCTCCTCAAGGGTAACTCATGACGACAGTAAGAATGCCTTCACGTCAGAGTCACAAGCGAAAGTGAAAGCTGCTGTGGGTATGACTGATGAAAATGATTGCTTGTTGGTCATGTTAGGAATGTGAGCTCTGGGTGGCAGGGAACGTGTAAGTGTGTGTGTGGGGGGTTGGGATTTGTAAATAAAGAAACAATAAAGTTAAAACGTGATAAAGTAAGTTAAGAAGAAACAATGATAAATGACCACCCAATAAGGATGTCCATTGGTCTGATTGTGGGTGATTGGCTGAGTGACTTTATGAATTTATCAGTTAATGGACGTCATCTCCGGTGTGAGGTCATCTACCTGAATGACGTCACATCTTAAATGACGTCGTCTATTTAAGGGACATCATATTTTTCATTAGATTTAATAGCGGTTGTGAAAATCAGTCGATTCAGTGTCGACAGGAGTATCTTAAAAAATTCATGTTTAACACACACACATACTACTACTACTACTACTACTACTACTACTACTTTACCTACTACTACTACTACTACTACTTCTACTACGACGACTACTACTACTACTACTTTGCTGTCACTCGAATTCGAATATGACAATCATCCAGCTATGATACAATGATATGAGTTATTAATGATGTCACCTTCGTTGGTGAGCTCTGAGGTGACTCGAGAGGCCGATAAGGGACCGGCAGGATCGATCACAGATGTTGCACGTGTGGAGGGCTACATCTAGTGCGGGAGGGGCGGCGGCAGCGTGTTTTCGGCGTTGGCGCTTGTCTGCCTCGGTATGCAGTCGGGATAATTTGAGTGTATTGACACCTTCTCTAGTGGTGCCTCCCGTTAGGTACGTCTCCGGTAGGCATTTGGCACTAACAACCTTTCAGTGCTCCATCAACAAACATCACACCACATACCCCATAACAGCCACCCACACATGAACTCACACCACAGTTCCTTCAACACCACACACACACACACACACACACACACACACAAAAGCACATTAAAAGCTTCTCGAACAAAACACGCAGTTCCCACCTTGATTTGCTTGCCTACTTTTAGTCGCAGCGAAGGGACTATTGTTCACGGTGAAGGAGGTCACGTCAGGGGTGCAGTGTGTGTGTGTGTGTGTGTGTGTGTGTGTGTGTGTGTGTGTGTGTGCGTGCGTGCCACTCCATCACCGAGGACAGGTACAATCCATACGTCTTACCTGGGCAACACAGGTGGTGGAGTACTCACAAATCTTACTCCTGGTGTATGTGTGTTGTGAAGGCATTAATTATTCAACACTTCTCGAGAATAACTTATAAATAACCATCTCGGTAATGTAAAGCTGTCACCCCACCTTCTCCCCTCCCCAAGTAAAGGTTGGAATTTGTAAATGAATAAATATCACGAGTTAGAGTTTAAGAATAGTAAAAAACTGAAGAGGTATTGTCTGTTCCATCAATATTTTGAGTGAGTCGTCAATGAGATGCTATTAATATGGCCGAATTATAGTAAGGCCTAAAAATGTTATGTTATTTCAGAAGTCAAACATAAGGATTAAGATAGTGTTTATGTCTGGCAGTGTTTTATCTAAGTTTATATATTTATGTTGATGTTGTGTATTTATGTATGAATACCTGTATGTCTGAGTGTATATGTATGTATGTGTGCGTGTATATGTGTACCTTAATGGGTTTTTTTTTTGACATGTGTACATTTGGGAGTGTAAATAGCTATCTTTATCACAGCTGACGGTAAAGTTATAAACCCTGATGGCCTCACGCACACGACTCTACCACTTCACTATTGTTTGTTTATTACGTGAACCAAAAAATTACCTATGTGTGAAAAAAATATCTCCTTTATATATTGTCATTATTCCTTATGTCTAGTCTTTGGTTCGTTCATTTTTCTATTCCTTCTTTTTAAATTTTCTTCCATGGTTTGCTTCTTCTGATTATCCGTTCTTCTACATCTTTCTCCCTCTCTTCCTCCCTCTTTTTCTCTCCTTTCCTCCTCTCTTTTTTCTCCTTTCTCCTCCCTCTTCTCCTCTTTGTCTCCAATTCTCCCTCTTTTCCATTATTTCTTCCCTATATTTATTCTTCTCCTTATTCTCTCTTCATTCTTTTCTTCCTCATCTCTCTTCTCTCTTATCTCTCTTCATTCTTCTCACCCTACGTCCTTACTTATCACTTTCTTAATATTCCTTCCACGCTGTCTCTCTCTCCTTCTGTTCTTCCTCTCTCTCTCTCATTTTCGTCTTCCTTTCTCTTTTATTGTGCTCTTCTTTCCACCTCTTATTCCTCCACCTCTCCCTTTATCTCTCTCCTAATGTCTCTAACTACTTATTCCTCCTGACCATCCATATTTTTTTCTTCTCTCTGGCGAAGTGACCCCTCGAAGTGAACCCCCTCGAAGTGACCTCGAAGTGACCCCTCGAAGTGACCCCCTCGAAGTGCCCCTCGAAGTGACCCCTCGAAGTGACCCTCGAAGTGCCCTCGAAGTGACCCCTCGAAGTGCCCCCTCGAAGTGCCCCCTCCGCCGCCTCCTTACCTCATAGAAAACGGAACTGAACCTCACCTCCCTCCTGCCAGCCGTACGCCTCAAGAGGATTCGAACGCATTACACACGACTTGAAATGAATCCCCGGGTAATCGTGTTTGATACTTTATTACCTTCCACCTGCCAGACAGTATTAGGATGTATCGGCTATCTCATCTTAGTGGTGAAATTACCTGTATTTATCTTCCCTGCAGTCTTATATTGTCTTTTTGTTTTTAAATTTGTAGCCTATGTC